CAGTCTGATATCAATGTTTGACAACATGAAAATACAATTTGTATGTCAATCACTATTAAAAATTTTCAAATAAAAACTATGCTGAGCTGATAACCTATATTTTGTTTTAATGTTTTCTCGTAATCGATGAAATGAGGTAATCTTCGACTTCTTGCTGTGATCCTGATCTGATGAGCTTTAATGTGATGACCTTTAGAGTGATACAAAGATATTGGCATGATCCTAGACACAGTAGACATTGAAAGTGTTGTGGCAATTTGTACAGGTTCTAATCTTTACCTTTGCGATGTTAACACAGAACAATACGTAATATTTTTTTTCATTTCTATTCATGAAAGATTTAGCATAATGGTTCGAAACATGTAGTCTCTGTGAGCAACTCAATATATGACCTTTGAACTCTTGCTGAAATATTGACCTAGGAGTTACCTTTGGACATATAACATGCTATACAGTTTTCCATTTTTTGTAATATACACAATCTAGATGAGTAAATAACGATTAAATCTATAAATGCAACTGCTGCAACCTTTGATGTTGAACAATTCAACCCCATGAGGCTATTTTTTTTTTAACCAAAACTCCAAATGAGCCATCATTCATGAAGGAAATGTGCCAATTTTCCATTGATTTGTACAATTGTTAGTTTCCTCCAACAACAAGGATATCTACTGCTCACTGTTCTACAGTTTATAATCTGACATTCAATTTTTTTTTGCATTGTTCAAATTTCAGCAAACATGAAAGCTCTTCTCCCAATCATGCTACTGGCCAAATTCCATAACCCTGGGTGCTTGGGGATTCAAGTTTTACAGAGGAAAAAATTGATGATGAATGAATGAAGGAAAGAAAGGGTACATGTATGCTGAACCATAGCATAAACTCAATTGTCATTCAGCTAGTAAGTTAAAACTTAAACTTGCTTGCCAAATCATTTTTTTCTCTTCCAAAATGATCTCTGTTAGTCTCCTGGACAACTGGTAGACAGAAGGAATAGGTGAATTCTATACAAACACAGTACACTAATGCATGAAGTTTACTTTCCATGATGGTTAAAAGGGAGAGAGTACTGAACTAAACATAAAATGTCTATTCTGTATGCAGAGTCACTGTCTTTATTCCATTTGCTCAATATAACAAATTGTAACATATTTACTTAGTCTACCTGTTCTACATATTTTTTCCGATAGATATAGTAAAACTAAGTACATGCATTGTGCTTTTGTGTAAGTGAGCCGGCACATTGATTAGTTATGGTAGACAGATCTGATAAAGCATGAAATAGCACTGTTGTTGTAGACCGCTAGGGCCAAGTGTAACATATGTGACATAATCACAATGTTTGAGATGATGACAAATCACTTATCTTATACATATAGACATGTTCATTTCCAGTAAAGCTATGATTAAGTCAGCCCCAGTACTGCATGTATGCATCAAAAAATCTATAGAGGAGTATTCAGTTTCCACAGCACATGTAACAAAAACAATAAAAGTAGATACTGTAAACGAATATAATTCTATAGTAACCTTACTTTAAATTAATCTTTAAGTTGAAAGTATTGTGCTAAAATACGACAGTGTGAATTACAGTTTCTGTATGTTCCTTACATAGGAAATATTTGGCCCCATTCCCAATTGAAATTATTTTGTATTTAGACCAAATTCCAGAAATTTTCAATTTACAGTTGTTAAATTTCCTTCCCAATTTAACAATTTTCTTTCTTAAAGGAGGCAAAAATAAGCCATCCTAAAGTGGAGAATAAAAACTCTGCTGGTTACAAAATCATCTGACATATGATAACACGAATCTTAAACTCTTGTCTAGTACATCTTACACACTTGCATTAACAACAAGGAGTGAACTCCGAATTCTGATCAGTTTAACTGTTCAAGGTCATCCTAGATCATTGGAATGAGTTCAATGTCACATTACAATATTCTCTTGTGTTGCATATGCTGAGGTTACCCAGTAAATCTAGTTATTTACTGGAGAGGATATCAGAATCAGGCGACAACTTCAAGGTCACACTGCGATATTCTCATCTACCCACCAGATGGTTGCTGGATGGCTATGATTTTTTGTCTCTGTAACTCTTCAATAGGACCAATCACCCAACCATCTATCCAGTAAACAGGAAGATCCTAAGAGAGATCATCTAACCTGGTATCAGGTTCTTGTAAATATACTCAGGTTACTCATTCAAGGTCACCCAAAAGTATCATCCCAGTACTGGATAAAGGGTTCAGATACTTTATATACATTCATTTACCTATATGTACCTATAAAAAAATGGTTTGCTTTAGGTCACCTTTTAGTATCATTTCAAACATGCATGGCATAGTGGACATCACAGGCAAATTACATCTTTCTCAATTTCAGATGTCTGTGTTCTTTTAATTATGCGAGACAAACATACAAAGATAAACAGACACAGAATCATAGAAGTAGTTAGATAGTGTCCTCCTTGTGTCTGTATATACACAATATGGTAACAAGCAGCTACAAGTACTTCAAATCCCCCTGATGCTATATCAAGGCCTACTTAGATAAAGCTATAAGTTGGCGTTGAAGAACCAAGACAGTAAATCAATTTGCCAATCTCTACCAGTAATACCACTGTCTTAATTAACTCAAATCCTATAGTCATGTACCTCTTTCCATCTACACTTCAGATGTATTGTCAACTAGAGGAATATTCTATTACTGCAACAATGTGCCAATCAATGGCACAAATATCATGATCATCAGGCTATATGAGCTGGCTTGCAGTGATCATGACAGTGTCATGGAATATTGAATCTATCTTTAGAAAAACCCAAAAAACAAAAACATAATTCTACAACCTAAGATAATCTTATGCCTTGAATTGATTTAGAGTAAACAGGTAAACTAGTAAACAGTATTGATATTTTTCATCAACTGAAATTTTTTTCATTTTCCTAAGCATAAGATATATTTGCAGACAACATTTCTCTCCTGACAATCTCAAATGGCATTGTTATTTGAAAAATAAGACACTAAACTTAAACATTAATTTCACATCAATCTTGAAGTAAATACAATGTATATCAATTACTTATTAATACCTATCTATGTCTTATTCGACAATAAAACTCCAGTGACCCCAAACAAAAAAGAAAATGCATAATAAATAACCAAAATGTAATCAGCAAGGCAGTGATACCTGTGCACATTGCCAGAGCACTGATGTTTGTAGGTGAGACAAGCCAACCAATAGGAAGAAAACCTGTAACCAACTTACAAAGGCTTTGTTTGATAAGGCATATTTTGAGGGTTAGAATAGAAACTTAAACACACATGTACAGATGTAGTTTAGTAGCTGTTGCTACTTTCCATAGAAACTTTTAATCAGCAAATTTTATGCTGATACTCAGCATTGCTATCTTTCTATAAACTTGATTTTATTAGATAAAAACTGATTATAAAATATATGGTACTCGTGCATGTCTACCTGAAGTATTGTATAAACATAAAAGTGATGAACAGTAATGACAGAGGTCGTTGCAGTGCTATATAACCCATATAACCCGTTACTGAGGAGAACAAGGATACAAGCTTGAAATCGCTAGCTGACCAGATCAATACCCATAGTAATGCTTGCTCAAAATTAACAACGGAAGAATCAATAAATTTCTAGTTGACATTGCAGGGATTCCCAGTCACCATACTGTAGTGTAAGCCTTTATAGGGGTCACAGCATTTCTCTCCCTACATCCTATTGTTTACCAAGTAATCACACTGATAATAAAACCCCAGGGACCAAGCAACATAAATGATGTCTAGGTCTTGGATTTTCTAATGAAAAAAAAAATTAGAATCCTTGTATTCTTTACTGCTGTATGTGTTGAGATGAAAACACTTCTTTCAAATAACTGTAGTTATACTATAACTGTAAGTCGATAATATATCTTTGTTCTTCATTAGAAGGGTACATTAGTATAAGCTTATCAGATCAGTGTTTTATTTTGACATAATATAAATAGAGATTCTCTCAAAATAATCCTGAATATTGTTTATCAGGACAGTCAAGTTCCAATGTGAATTCACTTGAGTCTAGTAAACATAACCTTGACCACTCTGAATTGATGCTGTCAGACTCATTTTAGACAGAATGAATAGAACACCATCATATAATTTTATGCTGAGATTCTCTTTAAGTGTAATCCAATCATGGATGTCGTGTGATGGTTCTAAAGGTACAGATTCCATAGCAATACAAACTGGAATGTGGCAAAATTGATGCTATCAATACAATGCATGTTGGTCAAGTGCTCACAATGTAAATTCATTATTTGTTTGCAGGAATAATTGCTCTGTCAAAGGGTTGGGTCATTTTGAAGTAGGATCTCTTACCTCACTGAACAACACATATCGGAGGACATACAGGAAATGATTAAAATAGTACAGAATATCTTAGCAGTTAAGACATAAAACACTCCTCATTGCAGTTTCACCTCAATCACACCAAATTTCAGTCTGGTTGCACCAGTGGAATCTAAGAAGTTTAAAGTGTGTTTTTCAAGATGGTGGCCATATTAAATTTTGGACTGAACCAAAAAAAAACAACACTTAGTCAGGACCATTTCAGGATCATTTCAGACAAGTTTTCAATTGAATCCTACTTGTGGAATTTGAGAAGATGTCTAAAATGTTCATGCACCATGAACAGCACACAACGACAGACATAAAACAATGGCTTTAGCTAATCTTGACCCTTCCAGTCAGATGAGCTAAAAAGTGAGGTTGGAGACATCCCAACAAATAGAAGTGAATGATGGTCAGACAATGCCATACTGAAAAATTCATGTCAAATTTTTGATGGGTAGATAATAATGTTGATATATCTAATTGATACTGATTTTAAAAAAATTTCAACGACTTTAACCCAAAATTGACAGCTCAAGTCTGGATATTCTTATATATTTGTTTTGGGGTCTCTTTACTTCATCATTTGTAGTAGAATTGTATGGCTTACCTGGTGTACAGTAATTAGGAGGGCCAAGAATGCAAATATACCCCCTATGCCCTGGGCTGCCCTGGTCTGAAGGAAGATCAGGGGTTGGATATATGATGCATTGGCTGTCACATTCTCCAGGGCTGGCAGAGCTGTTGTCATGGAGCTGTGGTTACCAGGGATACTTGTTGTAACAGGTATAGGTGAAGTAAGGTCTAAGACAGGCACACTTGTGCCATTCGGGTTCATCTGTAATAAAGTGAAACAATGAATCAATAATTAATCCTCAGGTATTCAAAGAATTTGCATACTTATGCATTACCATATCTTAATTCACACAAATATAGTCCTGTAGTCATGAAATGAATGCATACATATCATAATTATCAAATAGGAGTCCCAACCTGATTGTATCATTCAATGCTCCTGTTTAATAGTGTAAATTTGCAAATACTCAGATCTTGTCAGGCGAGATTCAAATGATTTTGATGCTTAAAGAGAAGACGGTCGATGAAGATCTTTGATTTTCAATGTAGTTGTAACACTAATTTCCCAACTGCTTCCTAAATGTGTGTCAATTTCTTTTATCTTATCAAATTTCTGCGAACTAATGATGCCAGTTTGATACTTGGCCTCTTGATTTCATCTTTAGAAGCTGTTTATAACTATAAAAAACGTTTCCTGTTAACCTAAGTTGATGGAAAGCTATTTCTGTATCAATCAAAATGATCCACAATCTTGGCCACAAATAACACATAGCTAAAAGGACTGAATTTACAATATTTAAATCCTAAATTTCATATTTTTTATTTATTTTTTTTTAAAATATGTATATCTTCTATTTTTCTTGGTCAATAACATTTTACATTTTTCAATAATAAAAATGATATAATATCAAAGTATGCCACATAAACCTATTTAATTTGTACAGACACAGTTTTGGGGCCAATATTGCTGAAGGTAAGCTTCTATCCATGTAATATATGCACCAAAAACTATTGTCAAAAATTGTCCGGGAGGTATCAAAAACTGATCTGCAACTGCCATAATAACTGAAAAATATCTTCATTCATTCTATTTCATTTATGATAGTGTTTACATATTAAATACAGGTATAATAAAATAAGTATTTTGTTTGTTGTCATTGAGTCATATCAGGTCATTTTAAGATTAGCAGATTGTAAAAATCAATGAAAAAGTGATAACAAAATGAAACATTTTTCATCCAGAGATTTGTACATTAATATCATTTAAAAAGACAAAAAAATATTACAAATTACATATATTTTTGTAATAATTAAATTGGTCTTGGTAAGACTTCTGCTGTATTTATTCTTTAGTAATTAACCTAGTGTAACCCTGGTATATACTAGTCACAATATACCGCTCAGCTAGAGAGAACTTCTCTTTAGCTTAGCGGGTTGAGTGTCAGACTAGTGCACCAGAGGTCTTGTGTTCAAATCCTAGTCAAGGCACTGACATAAATAATTAATGACCTGTTCTAATACATTGATGCCCATCTAGTGACTTGAGATTAATACTTAGCATTGCTATAACCCCATGAAACTTGAGGACAAGTTCTTTCCTGGAGGGGAAGTAAGTAACCCTGGTAAATACTAGTAGCTCTCTTTACCTTGATTGGTTAAGTGTTAGACATGTACATCAGAGATCATGGGTTCAAATCCTAACAGAGGCATTGACATAAATAATGACCTCTGTTACAATAGGTCAGTCATATCAGTATAACTTAAAACTCAAAATCTGGCTTGTTCCAAATCAGTGATACAGAATTTGTAAGCATTTTTACTGATGCCAAAACATACAACTAATAAGACATTTATAAACAATGGAAAACTTCTCAAAAAGCATGACAGGGCTAATTACTGTCAGATAGCATGATACATATAAGAAACATTCAGTTCATTGTTTGTCAAGAGATATCATTATGCAAACTGTTAAAAGATCTAATGACTGTAAATAGTCTTCTGTAACATTAACCTTGAAACCTTTGACACAAATGGAGCAACTGCTTGCAACTGTACTCAACAAATTTGGAACAACTTCACTGTTAAGAGAAACAGAACTCAAACACATCCTTTAAATTTCCATGGGTAACAATCCTCCTGACTTAAATATAATCATCATCCATGCACACAGGTCATTGATATTTTTGTTAATAGTAATATCTAAGATTGTGCCCACATGAGGAGGAACGAAATGGAAATCATTTCCAAAGTTAACAATAAAATAGTTGGGTCAGCAGTAATTATTACAGGTGAGTGTCTGATTTCACTGTCTTTACTAATTGTACTACTGTATGTATATGGTTTGTTCTAAATCTCAGCCAAAATTGACATATCTTGAACAATTTTGCTCCCCTGAAGCTAAGTAAGTGTATTGGAATTTCTGAAAACCTTACTTTAGCAACTTAGCGAAATGTAACCTATCAACTCCATTTCCATACCCAGCAATGTTTACTAGTGCACTCACAGCATAGTGTCCTGGAGACATCGGTTTTACATTGACAACAAAAAGTTAAAAAAAAACAATAATAATTAAAGAATATATCTCTTTGGTGATCATCAGCACGTGGCGATGTTCACTTAAAAATCAATCAATTAACAACAGAATTTGTTCAAAACACGATTAATAGATCTTTAAGATCATTCGAAGATATAGATATGAGTTGCTATCCTTACAGCCATGATCATGAGTTACTGTACAACTGGTGGCATATGCACGGTTTGTTTGGCGATAGATTAGCTCAACATCTGGTTTTCTACAGTGGTAATTGTGAAGAAAAAACTCACCTTGGCATGCAAATTGACAGATGATTTAAACAATTAAAGCGTCATTTCATGATAATGCTTTCTTGCACAACATTTAAATGTATAAATATTTACATTTTTAACAAGTGTCTGTCCATTTCCTGCTAGAATCTAGGAAATGACGTTTCCGCATATGATCATGACGTCACAGCATCAATAATCGTAAAACTTTCTCTTAACTATTGAACATAAAGGAGATCACGGCAACGATTTAACACTGGCTTTGGAACGTTGATGTGTGTCTTTTCTTTTGAACTCAAACAACACTTAACGAGCAATTATGGAAATAAAGGCGGATTTTTGTATCACTTTTCGCTTGTGGAACTCTTCAATGTTGAAAACAATTTTAGATCATGAAATCGTACTTCCTGTTTATTAATACTGGCGGGAAACTGAATTGATAATACCGGGACCAACATAACGCTTGACAGACAAAAGACATTTTACTGAGATGCAACGATCGATTACGTAATGTCACATTTTACTGTTATGAATGTGTTACTATGTGTATACCATATGCTTTGTCTGTATTGAATTATTGCAGTTACGACTTCAGTAATGTTACCTTAAGGCTTAAGCGAATGCACACATTCTGGTCTGAAAGGAATATATTAGTAAAATTCTAAAACCAGTATTTCATTTATTATGATGTAGACTGTGTTATGAGAAGAATTTTGAAGGGATCGTTTTTGCTTACTTAAAAACATAAATGGGGAAGCACACGTTTATTTAAAATATATGCGATGTACATCTTGTATAACTAGACTAATGTTTTCCCTCCAAGGTGCATCACCAGGGCTCTCACACCCCATTTTGGGACTGGGGCCCGGGGCCTTTAGAATTGGGGAAAATAACGTTGATTTCCTTAGAAGTGGGGAATTTGGGGTCTAAATTTGGAAAAAAAATACTAGTTTGCATTGGGAATATTCGGCCCCAAATCTGGCAGATCGAGAGCCCTGATCTCGGACCAGAATTGTGTTCCTTAGTTTGCTTAATCAGAACATAATTGCAGGTTCGTACATTGTGACCAGTTATCTGTTTAATCGAAAATCATATCGATTTTTATTGACCTTTGATATAATTATTGTAGTATAGATATTGAGAGTACAGGTCACCTCACTTATCCTGACTAATGGGAATTTCTATTTAGTCCAGCGGTACATTATCTTTGAAGATACTGAAGGATTGCTGTTTCATTCCCCAGGAGAGGCAAACTTTTTTTCATTGCCAATGATTACTCCAAAGGTAAAACCCGTTGGAGATGGAGATGCCCTTTGCAGATATAGTCTTGGTTATTTTTGTCTTTGGGGTCAAAGACTTTGTGACGGAGGGGGTAGTTTCAAATTTATGAGAAAAAATTGCACTTGTAACAGTGGCTGGAGGAAACATCTTTTCAGTCAAGTGGTAGTGTCCAGAGCATATTTTATTACTCCTCCCTATTACTGTCCAAAAGCATGTGGAGTTTTTGCATAGTGGTTAAATTTCCTTGTACCTGTAATGGATAGCACACATGCCTTTCATCAATGTATCCCAGGGTTTGATTTTAACAATTTACTTGTTTAGACTTGGAAAGGAATAGGATCAGGTGCCCAACCCATCAGTCAATTGACAAAGGATATTCCAACATTCTCTCACATTATTATTAAAGTTATTGTAGTTATTGCAGAAAACTGTAAGAATAAGCTCTTTCGTGTGTTGTTAAGATTGGGAAAATTTCCATAATATTTATGAAATCCACCTATCCCCGTTTATAAGATAAAATATTTATAAAATGCTATTAAATCATTAAAGTTACTATTTTGTAAGTCATCCTCGATACTCTTAGGGTTGCAGTGACTTTCGCTCTCTGCACTCATGGAACATGTCATGGCAAATTTGAAGGCATAAGCAAAGTAATTTTATTGGTTCTAGGAACAAACAACTGACAAATCAGGGTTATAGCTCCTTTTGAGGGTATCAGTGGAGTGATATCTAACCTCAAAGCCACAACAATACACTGTAATGTGACCTCAAGTTCAATTTATGTAGGATTAAACTAGTATTTTTTTTTTGTCCATGTGTTGCACACCTTCAGTTTTGCCATGACATGTCCAAGGGAAGCAGAGCACAAGTAACGCCTGGAGTATTGAGGATATTCGTAGGTTAAAGTGATGTTTTAAATAATAAAAAATGACTTCATTACTTCTAATTTCAGGTTGATTTTCATTTTGAAATAAAAACTTTAAAATTTATGAACAGCTGACATAGATATAGCGGTTTTTACTTGTATTATGGCTGTAGATTGATATTCTGAGAAAATGTTTTTCCTGATTGTTTTCTTGAATGTATGTTTAGTATTTTAATTACAATTTTATTATTTAGTTATTTTCTGTGTTTCTTATAATTACAGGGCATTCTTTGCTTCACCAAAGGTGAAGAACAAGGAGGAAGAAAAGACTTTAGAACAGAAGGATTCCAAAAAGTATGTCAATATTATATGAATTGAAAAGAGGTGAAGATTCAAAGTTTCAACTTAAAATTATGTATCTATTCCTGAGTCAAGATGAATTTTTATGATTGGAATATATTCACCAACTTGTAGATTCCAGACATTTTTTTTTTAAATTTCAATGAAAATTGACACTATTATTCAGTAAACAAACACATCTGAAATGATGGTGGTTTTCAAGGTGGAGATCATGAAAATTTTCCGATGGTTTACTTTGAATTGATTTTAATGAGATACTTCCGACTCTAAACACATGAACAATAAATATATTTTTTGGTTTTAAGGTTGAGGACTTTACAGGTGAATGGTCACAAAGGATCTTCATATTTCATTCTCACTGATATTGTCGAATCACAATAATTAGTAGTGGAGACAGAAAAAAAATCCATTTGCTTTCAAATTTAATTTTTAATACTCAATATATATTAAAAGTTTTATCACTTAAGGTATTAGGGGTGTAATTAAGAACCACATTCTCTGACCTTAGCAATCTTCTGTTAATGTTACAATAAGGCATAGTCAACTTGTTAAACCTAGAGCAAAAAACATACAAATATGTAAGCACTGACAGAAAAAGAATGGGGCAAAAAATTGCAATTTACTTTGGTATAGAAATAAATAGGCCTAGACATACTGTAAGTATTAAGCCGAGTGAAATGGGTCTTGTGTGTTGATGACAACTTCCCAGTATCCAAAAATGGAACTTATCATCACTAGGGTTCTGTTATATGGACCAGTATACCTATCATTAACAATTGTCATAAGGAAATGAAGGAAGATGGGGGCTCTCTGTACAATCTTTGCCACATGCCACGATGTCCAACACAATATATCACAGTGGTAAAACTAGGCCCACTCAATAACACATTTTCAAACTAAGTAAGTTTAAAGTTTTTAAAGCATTCAATTTGTGGCATGGAATCCTATTTCTTTCTGAATTTTGTGATCCCAGTCCAAAGTACAAACTTTCCTTGACTGTTGCTTAGGCATTAGCCATCACAATTTTCAAGGGGTGGCCTTTGCCAGATTCCAGTAAATACGATTGATCGTGCAAAGAGACTTCATATTTTCATGTGTGTGGAATGGATCACTAATGAATCTATACATGTTCATTGCTGAATTGATTTTTTTCTCTTTTTAAATAACTCAAATTCAGTTCAAAATAAATTCAAAAGTTTGAAAATAGCGTTCTTTTGTTTTAAATTGCTGTTGATATCTCACAGTAAAAGTCACTCTGTGCCATATGTACCCCTTATGTCATTGCACCCTCATCAGTGCCCAGTATGACTAACAACTTGTCAGTTAAAAATAAAAGTGTGGATACAATTACAATGTGTCTTACTTTCCATGTGATTTACACTTCTGACTTATAATTGTAGCTTTTTAGCTGATCTTGTTGAATACAATGTTTAAAATTCTCTGTTCTTCTGTCCATAGAAAGATTTGTCCAGACAACTCTTCTTAACTTTGTCCACAGGAATATTGGTCATTATGTTAGATGTGCATGCAAGGTTTATTAAGCAAAAATTATGGTTGTCATGGGCAGGCAGTTACAGGGGTACCATTTTCAAAAAAACATATGATGTTATTTGGTTGCTATGGTAACCATATAAGAGGTTGCTATGGTAACCATATAAGACCCATGATTAGACAGATCTTTCCCAAACATCTAATGATGTGGACCAATTTCAGTGAAACTACACAGAAATGTTAGGAATTTAGTAGGTATGCAAATGTGCATGCAGGTTTTTTTTTATTTAACAGAAGTTTGGGTTGCCATGGTAACATCACTATACACAGGTTTTCATATAAAGTGCCATTACTTAGCCCTTTCATTGATTTTATTTAAATTTGATTAAATGCTATAGCTTTTATGGTCTCTAATTTGACATAAAAAGTGTTCCAACACCATTATGATGGCAATATTAAGGAGTCTTTTGATTGGTTGAAATTAAGATATTATTTGATTTAGTTGAAAATTGGTATGAAAAGGTTATAAATGCTAGATGAATGCCTCTTGGAGGAATCTTGTTCAGACAACCTCTCCTAATCTATTGTTGATAAGGAAGCAGGAGGGGAGGGGGTATTAGTTGTATTTAGTTTAGTTAAATGTGGCAAATCGTAAAATTCTAATGTTTGTTATGTTGCTGTAATTTATTATGTAATTTCAGAAATGTTAAAAAGAAATCTCCTCTGAAGCCTAAAAATTCTCCCCTACCAACAAAAGACTTGGATTCTCCAGTCAAAGCTACCAGCAAAAAGAAAAGTCGAGCTCGAATAATAGAGAGTGATGATGATGAAGAGGAGGAAGAAAACACCAAGGAGCCAGAGGCCATGGAAACGGAGGAAACAGAGGAAACAGACCAGACAAAAGATGTAAATAGGAGTTTGTTTAAGTATTATATGTAGTTTTGGTAATGACTCTCAAATACTTAGATATATTTACTTCATTTGAAATTGGGGTTATATAGTATTCGACTAGTGTTTCTGTGCGTTGGTCTCTTAGTTGATGTTTTATGTATAAACATCAAACTTCGGAAATTGGTAGGACATCTGAAGGTGGTGTATGGCATACTGAAAGTGGGTCACTGTGACCACTTTTTTAACTATGATTAACTTTGATTGTGATTATTAAAAAAGATAAGCATACTAGTAGTTGCCGGAGGATATCTAGGCCACTTTTTTCATTGAAGTATATGGCCTAAAGACTTCAGTGAGTGAAGATACTCCATTGAAAGGTAGTGTCTATGAAGGAACACATATTCTGGATATCCATGAAGCCCACACAACAAGTTCATGGATCTAATTCAAGTGCTAGTTTCAAGTTGGTCTGAAGGCATTTTTATCTTCCATTTTAGAAAGAAATGACTGATGAAAAGGATGAAAAGGATAAAGAGAATGATGGAAAAGAAGAGGACTCTGGTATCTCATCACAGTCTTCTTCAGAAGTTACAGCTGCCTCTCCAGTTGCTAAATCACCATTTGGAATTCCTGTTAGGAAAACTGGTTTGTAAACATTTTTAAAGATACTCCAGTTGAAACTGGGAAACATTACAGCCTTTCATCAAAATTAGATCCATTAATGCGAGTCCTGAGTCCTGTACTCATGGAATTTGAATCGTAGAATTCCTGGATATACTTAAATTTTCATTGAGGGAACCATTGTTTTTAGCAATGAAATTGATAAAGACTTGTGTAAACTGTAGATTGCTCAATGTATTAAGATAACATCTTCCAACTCACTGATAATAAGTCATTCGAATTTTTATCTGTATTTAATCCTTGTACATACCAGATTTTTATTTGCGTTAATGTAATGATGACTTGGACAGAAAAGTGCACACTGCATATGTATAGTGTACACTTAAATAGGTTAAAATCATTCCTTGATACTTAGATGATGTTTTTTTTACTTATTTCCAGCTAGGAAATCCATGGGTAACAAAAGAAAGACTTTGAACTATGATAATGAGAACAAGACACCATCCAAGAAAAACAAAGTCAGTACAGTGGAAGGAGAGGCTAAAGTAGTCGATAAATCACCTGACACAGAAAAATCTACAGGAGAAAAGGAAATGTTAGAACAGTCTAAATCAAAAACAGATTCTGTAAATGTTGAAGTGGATGATAATAAAAAGGAATTGGTATTGGACGAAAAAGAAGTTGATACAGAAAAGACTGATTCACATGATATTGAAATGAAGGTATATTGTCTCAAAATTCTCTTTAGATATAATAATAATCTATTCTGGTCACTAACTATCTGTCAAGGTATCACAAATATATTTCCCTCATATAAATCAGTATGGTATACTCTCTCAGCTTTTGGTTCTATCTTAATAAACGACATCAGGTGGTGAGTATTAAAATTGTTCAAATAGACAAATTGACCCCGCTAAGTAAACTCAAATGAGTTGATTCAAAATGGAAAATATGGTTTTTGAGGTCACTCCAGCACTAAGAACTTGGTTTTTAGGATATGGAAAATGTTACGTATTTCAATACCCAAAAACACATTTAACATGCTGGGCATGTAGGGATAAATTTGCAATATGATAAAATGAGCTTCTTGGATATCAAAGTCAGTCAGCTGCTATGAAACTAAAGTATCAAGGTTTCTGTAAAAAGAAATGTAAAGATTTTGTTATTTCAGTCTGATGAAGAGCCGAGTGAAGAGAAAACAAGCAAAAAAGGCAATGCAAAAACTTCACCAAAAAACAAAAAGGATTCAGAAAAAAAGAAAAAGCAATCGCCTAAGGAGAAAAAAGAGAAAACGCCTAATGTTAAAAAAGAAAGTAAGAAAACAAATTCCAAATCTAGAAAAGGATCAGCAGAAGCAAGTCGACCTGCATCAGACACGGAAATTGACAAAACAGGTGAGAACTGTTCTCCAAAATGTGTAATTTGCTCGAATGACGAAGAAACTAAAAACTATCTTAAAAACCTTTGTAATGTCCAAACCTATGTATTGTATGTTGGTACGTTTTGGGGATGAAAATACTGAAATATGCTTCTACTTGCATGATGTGGGCACCCAAATTTTTAGTCAAATAATGATCTCAGGATGTCATGAAATCAATCTCAGAATATTCAGCTAACATATATAGTGATACAAAGTCCAAAACTTGTTAGTGTTCTCTTCAGAATTTGTTTTTATCTCATTTGTTGACTTTCAATTACCTTGTTCCCTTCAGTTGGAGGTACATTACAACTGATGAATGAAGCTGCCTAATATTTGTGTACTTCTTGTTTGTTTTCATTGACATTTGACATGTTCTACTGTATCATACACTTACCTATCCAATTAACCTAGATGTATTTATCTTGTGAACAAAAACAATTCTCATACTAGACCTGATCAACAGTGTTCAGTGTTGAAATCAATCACACAACTAATTATTACCTATTAATGGCCAAGCCAGGTAATTGTGATTTTGGTGGGTCAAGTTTTCTAGAGTCAAGATATCTCGCTGTCACATTGTGTGCACTCTAACTGACATGACTTGAGGACCCAACTTTGTGTATGCAAGTGATTGGTTTATGGAGCACAGAATGCACTGTAGGCATGGATATGTATATCAGGGCTCTTGATTTGCCAGATTTGGGGCCGAATATGCAAAATAGTATCTTTTTTTCCCAATTTAGACCCCAAGTTCTCCCAATTCTAAGGAAAACACCATTATTTGTCCCAATTCTAAGGGCCCCAGCCCCCAGTCCCAAAATGGGGTGTGAGGGCCCTGTATATTGTCAGATGAATAAATGATAGTTCAGTTTAAAGATATGCTTCGTAAACACCAATAAGACTGATTTTGATAAATAATAAATTGCATCCTTAATCTGATAAGTCTCATTCCACAATCCGCATACAAATACGTAAACCCTAACTTCTACCAATAAACATGAAAATGGACATGTGCTCAAAAAACAATAATTTCATAATCTACATAATTTTTAATGTTCCTAACAGGCCACTGTCTACCAATCGTTAATTTCCTGTCTTGCTAGTTACTATCACATTTTGAAACACTTGTCCTGATTTTGGTTGATATTGACTCTCATTGTTTGCATTAATTTATACAATGATTGCCATATTTATTTTTGTAATTCATAAGGAAATCATCAAATCCTTCTTGTGTCAGTTTTGCTTATCAGATAATCCCCAAAATCAATGACAGCACTCGCACAGAATCTTCAATTTTTCCTTAAAGAAAAAAATGAAAAATCCTGTAGTCAATTTGGTCCTTGCATTTCTCAATAAAAATATGCTCCCATTGCAAGGGTTTTTACTGTATACATTCTCTTCCCTTTAAATTGGACATGTTGTAAAATGCTATACTTACTGTAAATAAGCTGTCTGGAGTGGCAAATGTTAGTAGTTAATGCTTGACTAAACTTGTTAATGTAGATTTCCAATAGACTCAATCTTCAGTTCAGTATGATAAGAACTAGTGAATTAAGATGTGAAAGAGAAAAAATGTGATATATTAACATATTTGATGGTTTCAAACTAAGTTTTGAAGATTTAAATACAATATATTCCTCAAGAATTGACATGATGCCTAGCAGTTTTAGATAACATTGCTTTGTAACATTGATGAAATGTATGCTGTTGTGACAGGCACGTAGTAAGAACTATAACACGGAAATAATTTACCTATTTTATTGTAAAGTCAAAATGATTGTTAAAATCTACCTGTGTTTGTAGTTAGACTAGTGGAAGGATGAAATGTGGATAAGTTAATAAAATCTACTTGTATTTGCAGTAAGGTTAGTGGAAGGATGAAATGTGGATAAGTTAGATTGATTAAAATCTACCTGTATTTGCAGTAAGATTAGTGGATGAAATGTGGATAAGTTAAAGTGATTAAAATCTACCTGTATTTGCAGTAAGATTAGTGGATGAAATGTGGATAAGTTAAAGTGATTAAAATCTACCTGTATGTGCAGTAAGATTAGTGGAAGGATGAAATGTGGATAAGTTAAAGTGTGTATTTGCAGTAAGATTAGTTAAATGTGAATAAGTTCGAGTGATTAAAATCTACCTGTATTTGCAGTAAGATTAGTGGAAGGATGAAATGTGGATAAGTTAATAAAATCTACTTGTATTTGCAGTAAGGTTAGTGGAAGGATGAAATGTGGATAAGTTAGAGTGATTAAAATCTACCTGTATTTGCAGTAAGATTAGTGGATGAAATGTGGATAAGTTAAAGTGATTAAAATCTACCTGTATTTGCAGTAAGATTAGTGGAAGGATGAAATGTGGATAAGTTAAAGTGATTAAAATCTACCTGTATTTGCAGTAAGATTAGTGGAAGGATGAAATGTGAATAAGTTCGAGTGATTAAAATCTACCTGTATTTGCAGTAAGATTAGTGGAAGGATGAAATGTGGATAAGTTAAAGTGATTAAAATCTACCTGTATGTGCAGTAAGATTAGTGGAAGGATGAAATGTGGATGATATGGGCCAATAAAAGTGTATCCTTGCTTTCAACATATTTATACCAAGAATAATTCGTATACATTTTATAATATTTTACAATTTTTTTCCAGGGGATGAAGAAGAAAAAGCAGAAGAACCAAAAGAAGAAAAGAGTGTTTCTGTAAAGGAAGAACCCAAAGCTTCTGTTCACAGCTTCTTTGGTGAGGATATAATTGAAAGAGATTTTTTGGTTTGGCTTATCTCTTTAGAAACATGGTACAAGCCTTTCAGGAGGATGTATTCATTTCTGGAATTTTCCTCTCAACTCATTTCAATTCAATACATTGTAAAAGCATGTGACAAAAGTTATCTCCCTTACACTGCAATATTTTAATGTTGTATTATGGATTCTTGTTTTTCAGAAGTAGATGTTATCAATTGTTATAACATTTATATGAATAAAGCATTGGAATCTTTACAGGGAGCTCTGACAGATCATTACAAATCAAAAGATAATCTAGAATTTAAAACTCATATTTATATGTTCATGTCATATTTTCTACTTTTATAAAAAAATATTTTTGGAAAAGCAAATGATGTCTTAAAATTCTTCTTTCTTGTTAAAGAGAAATCTGACCTCAAATTAGCTGTTCGGTTTAATTAATCCTTTGACTTATGTATATTTTACTTGCCACATTTTCTCCTTAAATCATACTTTAACCATTTAGTAGTTTTATGGTATAAAACGAAAAAAGCAATACACAAAAGACAAACTGGTGAATGTTTTCTTTTCATTGAAAATTTGAATATCAGCACAATGAAAAAACAGTATCGTGCTGGCAATATTGGTTTTATTCATCATCACTGAAATGTTATTTACAAAGTTGAAATTGAAAAGTGTTAAAAAAAGGAATTAATTTCTCCTCAAATTTTAAGTCAGATTTACCAATTTTATGAGATTAAATAATCTCAAAGTAAGATTAAGCTATTCATTGAAAATAAATGAAAACATCTTTAGCAGTTTAACTCCCATAAGTGAAATGAGGAAAAATCTTCCAACAATTATCTATTAGATAGAAGTTATTAAGTCTGTAATTTTAGTTTGCCATTTGTCAAGTTAGTAATTTAGCAATAAACTTCACCTGGATCTTCTGTGAAGGTCACAGACATGAGATATGTCGGTAAATAGCATTGAATGATGTGTGATACTGTCTATTTAACCTCTTTTTGGTATATAATTGTATTATTTTTGTTGTAAATATCTTAAATTGTTCAGCTCCAAGGAAAACCACTGTCAAGACAGAAGAAATCACAGAGGACAGCAAGTCCGAGGAGAATAAAGATAAAGCAGTGAAAGAAGATAAGAAAGAAGATGACAGTAAAAAGAAAGAGGACGTCAAGAGTGAAGAAAAAGAAAAATCAGAGAAGAAAGAACAATTAATGTGAGTTTTTGATATTTTTTTTATTTATTTTTCTAAATGATTTGATCAATGATGCTATATTACTAATATCTATCTAATTCACTAACATCACATAAATTATCTTTACACAGACAAACTGAGATCAGCTACAACAATGAAACACTTGATAGTATATAAATATGCTCACAACCTGTACATGAATTCAATAAGTCTTAAGATGGGACATCTGTCCTAAATTATGATGCACATTTTGTATGAACACATGTAGTATTGTTAAGATACCCATGACGGGACATAATGTCTCACATATTTTCCTCCTCGTTCCATGTGTAGCAGGGTTGCAAAGTCCATTTCCTTTCTTACTGTGAATTCCAGTCAAGAGAATTTGGCTATTTCAATATTTACTTACCAAGTTTTTATTGATTATATAAATACACAGATCTAACACCTTAACCAGGAAGCAAGAAGAGACTGCCATAGTCACATTCTTTAAATTTCTCTTTGGGATTGGATCAAACAACAATATACTATAACATCAATTACATTCAGACATAGATCTACACCTTCAACTTATATCATTACAAATGGAGGACATTTAATGGTTTGTCTTTGAATACCATATGTATTTCATGGGAAATATCAAAGACGTTAGCATATTTTTTCATACAAGTGACACCTATATTTAGTCAACAAGAAACTGTTTATTACATTTTGGGAAAAAAAGTACATCATCACAGATAATGATATAAGATATCTTACATTGTCAGCACATTTTTTTATCAGAATGAAAATTTCTCAAAATTCGCTGACAAAAATATAAGATATCTTACATTGTCAGCACATTTTTTTATCAGAATGAAAATTTCTCAAAATTCGCTGACAAAAATATAAGATATCTTACATTGTCAGCACATTTTTTTATCAGAATGAAAATTTCTCAAAATTCGCTGACAAAAATATAAGATATCTTACATTGTCAGCACATTTTTTTATCAGAATGAAAATTTCTCAAAATTCGCTGACAAAAATATAAGATATCTTACATTGTCAGCACATTTTTTTATCAGAATGAAAATTTCTCAAAATTCGCTGACAAAAATATAAGATATCTTACATTGTCAGCACATTTTTTTATCAGAATGAAAATTTCTCAAAATTCGCTGACAAAAATATAAGATATACATTGTCAGCACATTTTTTTATCAGAATGAAAATTTCTCAAAATTCGCTGACAAAAATATAAGATATCTTACATTGTCAGCACATTTTTTTATCAGAATGAAAATTTCTCATAATTCGCTGACAAAAATAAATAAAATGAATGCTATTTCATTTCAATACATTCTGTATTTATGAATAAGCCCATGCCTGGTATTAAACCCACCTAAATATATATATATATATATATATTGGCTTTTCAGCAAAATAAGCATCCAATGATGTTTCACTGTCTCAGCCTAGTCACTGGCTCTGAGGTAATGTGCTGGGGCCCCTGGGTTTTTCAGTGGGATACATACAGTATTATGATAAACCAGCTAAAAACACATTACAATCAATACTGGTAGGACATTTAACACAAACATGTCAGCAGCATAAAATATACAGACTTAGATGATATATTTTGTTTGTTTTGTAACACATTAAAACCAAGAAAGGCATGCTAAAGATTTCTGTAAAAAAATAATAATTCGTACACTCAAATTACGGATGTCTTCACTTAGTAAACTACATGAATTGTAGGAAACCCTTCACTTTTTGTTGCCAAGTAATTTTGACAAATTGAGTTACTGAAGGTGTTAATTTTGTGAATGTATGAAATTTGATACATTTTAATCCATTATCAAACATTTCAATCTTTCATCAGAAGAAAAATCAATACAATGTACTACTTTGTCATATGTTGAAAATAATTCAAATGTAAGTTTCTCAATTCTTGCAGATCATGTTCTGTGGTAGTACTTTTCAGATTTCCATTTTATGTCATTTGTCTTGATTTCTTTAGAGGTGAGCAACAAACAGACCAAGTTTAGTAAATTGCAGTTATTTGTGAAATAAGTCAATATAGGATGAACATTTCACGGTTCCATTAATGAGTTAATCAGAGACACAGCAGTCCAAACGGGTTTCACTACATGTTTGGTAGATTTCAGGTAGTATATTTTTCATTGATGTTCATGGAAAAAACAAAAAGATAGAAATGATGTATATTTTCAACGAAAAAAAAACAAGACCAAAAATGTTGCAGATTGAGCCAAATTCTTTACTGTATGATGTGCATTGTGCAAAGTTTCAAAGCATCACCTTACAAATTGAGCCGGGAGATTTGTTCATATTGAGCTCCAGTTGGGAAGGGACTGGGGGAAGGGGTTGGGGGTTGGGCACTTAACTAATAAAAACAATTCCCCCTGAATAAATAAAGAAGGACCTGTGCAAGCCTGCATCCAACCTCTGGAACTAACACTGAAGCCTGAATATAGAATAGAATTGAAATGACAAGGTTCTTTACTGGGTGTAGGGGAGATAATTATGTTATGTTGTGTACAGTTTTCATGAATTCTGGGATTAAACACCTATTTAGAAATATAAAATGACTGCAAACACTTTCAGTAATACTTGTCCTAAAAGCTATCCTAGTTTCTTATATACACAATTAATTTGCTATTAATAAATATTAAAAAATGCCTATGATGTAAGAAAATCTTTTGATTTTCTAACAAATCTCGCTCTTGGTTGGTACCTGGTTTGTATTGAAACAAACCATGACAGAGTTTTGATTTCAATCAAAATCAGAGCATATAGTATTAAAAGCAATCAACTGTGATAATTAGAGAGTCCATTTTATAGGAATTTAATACCTGGAGTAGCATTTTCAATTGAAACAGTCATTTGTATATATATTCTGGCATTCATTCTGTGTGGAAAATGATGACATAGGTCTTGAAATCTGTGTCTGTAGGTATAATATTTCTGTTTAATGTTGTTTATTGAATATATTGTCAACAACAGTCTACAATATTATAACTTGAAAATTTTGATTCAGTCCTCATATATCAGGTAGCCAGAGAATGTAGAGTAGTCGTTAAGAAGCGAGGAATTTTTGGACAGTTGTATCCAAACATGATCGCCTTGTACAAGGTGTAGGATTATGGTATTACTACCCGTCCCATATCCAGCACGCTGGTCACCATGCATAGGGATCACATAATTTCCATTCATCATTATCCAGCCGAAGGCATCAGAGTCAATGTTACATAACACATGGGCAGCAAATAGATAGGTGCCATTGACTTTACAAACAAAAGTGGAAGTATATGGATCAAAGCTGTCACCCAGATTGATGAACACATTGTCATAGATAACTATGGTATTCTCCAACACTGGACCAAGCCGGGATGTCCTGCTGGCTGAAAATGCTACCTTTTTGCGTATTGCTCCAGATTGTCCTGTGTTGGAACATAAAAAAAAACCTTTGATACTTATTTTTTTATTATTCCTTGTATCACTTATTTTTTATTTAATCAATCTTTCAATAGATTATAGCATGTAGGAGTGTACACAGCTCATTCTTGTTGAATTACTTATACTATTGCAAAATACTATATATCAGATTATTTTTGCAAAAATCTTTACAATATGTTGTTTGAAAATTTTGTAAGTTTGATGTTATCCTATTTTGATACTTTGAAAACACAAAAAAAAATCTTTATTTTATGAAAATATACAAGTGGCAATAAAACTTGAGTGACAAGACTCCATATTAACCTCAGTTAAGTTATGTACCTTGTATTTACACAGTGAAGTTGCTAGTCATTATGTTATCAACATGCATTAGGATTTCTGAAAATGATCCCTCAAATTGATCTGCCCTATATTGTAACTCAAGTATTGCCTAACTTAGATACCTTTCTGTCCCTTTTGACCCATGGCGCCGTAAGGGCCCACCTCTCCTCTTATTCCTTTGGTCCCACGGTTTCCGCATTCACCTTTCTGACCTTTTCTGCCCCTTCTCCCTCGATCACCTGCTTTTCCAGGTGGTCCTTGTGGGCCTTGAAATCAATAGATATTATATATTATGTATAATTTTATTCCAGTGCTGTGTCCCATGCATATTAAAGTCATGGTTTGTCTCACTCCGAATCTACAGATTTGAAATTTGTCATTTGAAAATCAAGTTCTTTACTGTGTAGAAAAAGTAGTAGTAGTAGTTACCTGGTATCCCAGAATTTCCTATCTCCCCCTTCTGTCCCTTAAACCCAGTCACACCCCTGGGTCCTTGGAGTCCCTGGTTGCCATGGGCACCTGGGGTACCTGGAGGACCAGAACAGCACTGGCAGTGAGGGGAAGCTTTGCTGTAGGTTAGGGTGGCAAGAGAACTCTTCACACCCAGCAGGAACAGGTAGTACAGTACATACACCTTAATGTTTATATTGGCATTGGCTAAAAATTTAGGTGCCATTGTCAAATTATCAAAACATTATCTATACTTTGTTTATGGTGTACTGCTTCTTCCATATGATCGGAACGTTTATCGTGTTTGAATTCAAAGATTATTTACACAGCTTTGAACTCACTGTCATCCTTTGTAGACTGTTGACTCGGATTCACCTGAAAATAAATACAAAACTTGAAAATATCTGGGAAATGATGCTCAATTTACCTTCCAAGCATGTCATTATTACTGTTTGACAAATTTCTGTAAATAGTAACAGTGACCTTGACCTTTAGAAACCTGATATAATTTACCTTTGCAGAAAGTTTGCTAGTGATGTTAGTGATGCAGTACAGGAAATAATGGGACAGACATCTGTAACATTTTATGCTTCCCTAAAAAAATGACGGAAGCATGTAAAAAGTAAAAAAGATGATTTTTCTGCCAATCAATGTTTGTCAGACACGAGGATTGTGTCATGTGAATGGAAACCTGATAATAATTACAGATCTATGAAGACTGTTGAGATTACACTCTCTTAATGGATTTGATTTGCCTGTCACTGTGATGTAATGAAAAACCATTCATTTAA